TATATCACATGCATCATCAATATATTTTGTTTTTTAACCAACTATTGTTTTTTGTTTTTTCTTGAATTAAACATGAACAAGAGAATGTAGTTTAAATTATTTAAGAGAATTATAAATAAAAGTCAATCACTTTATAATTAATAAGTTATAGTAATACCAGCTAATATACACCTTACTTAATTCAAAAAATATTTAACATAAATAGTTTATTAATTAAATATTAACAAAGATGTTTTAGCAATTTTAATTTCTATTCTATATAAAATCTATAAAATTAAGTATAATTAATTATTAAAATGGAGGGAGTACTGTACTAGCATTTATTATCTTAAATATATTATATTCTATTTTGTATTTATGATAATGAAAAATCTATCAATTATTAATAATGATAATTTAATAAAATTGATATTAAATTTCTTCTAATTATTATATTCTTTCAAATGTGTGTAAGAACTTTAAAACTCATTTATTTTAATGTAGAAGAGTATTTGGTTTCCCAAAAATAAAAAAAGTGGGCCATTAGTTTTTTTACCCATTCCTTAAATTAAAATACAATAACATGCGTATCAAAAAAAAAAAAAATACTACCATCCACCCCCACTTGTTGCATTATGACAAAAAATTTAATTTATCCAAAAACAACTTGTACATCACAAAAAGTGTATGCACTCTCATGTCCAGCCCTCACAAATTTATGGCGTTTGAATTTATATTTGCTTTAGGAAATGAAATTTCTTAGTACATCTATATACCTTTTTAGTGATCTCTGGAAAAAAAATCTAAAATATTCTTAGATTTCGGAAATACATATGCGAACGCACATTTAAAAAGAAAAAGAAGATAATTTCGCATGTGGAGATTCGAAGTTTTTTTTTTTTTTTATAAAAAATGTGTCTTCGCATGTGCACATTCTAAGTCACCTTATTTTTTCAAGAAAATGTGACTTCGCATGTGTACATCCGAATCAACCTCATAATATCATGGTGTTTCAGATATGCACATGCGAAGAAACCCTAAAAATAAATTTCATAAACCAGCACGCACATAACATTTGCACGCTTTCAGTTTGCATTTTTTGCTTCAAACCCAACACCACCATCTCTACTCAAACTCATTTCTACTGATTTCAAAATTGGAATTTCTACTCATTTCTACCCAAGAGCTCCATTGAAGAATTTCCTCCATATTTCAACTCATCTCCAAAATTGTGTAAGTTTATACTATTCCCATTTGATTCAATTTGCATTGCTAAAATTGGTTATTAGGTTAGTTAGAATCAATAAAATTGTACAGGTTGATGTTAGAGTAGTTAAATGTGGGTGTTTGGGTGATAAAATCAGTTCTTTAGATGATTTAGGGCAAGAAGTAGAAGCTCTCTGAAAATGGTAGATCATGGGTGATTTCAGATGTGCATTTTCGAAATCCCCTTTTACCAGTTTCGGATATGCACATCTGAATTCTTTCTTGAGTTGATTTTTTTTCAAAGTTGTTTCCTTCCTTTCCCTCTTATTAACTCGTCACATTTTTTCAGGAATATGGCTGACAATCAGGGCCCGAATAACCGATTAAGACAAGGCAGGCCAAGCCACACTGCCTTTGCTCGGAGTGAGAGAGCTGGATAAATTAACATGACTCAAAGATGGGGTCGGATACGGCGGGAGGATGTTGTTGGAGGATACACCTCTGTATCGAGGAGACGCATGTATTAGGCCTCATCCTCTTGTGCACGTGAGTAGATACTTGATGATGAGGAGGTATCTGACGAACAGTTTGAGGTACCCGATGAGGAGCCTGTTCAGGATACATCGACTGCCCGGTTATGTGCAACAATGGAGTAGGCGAATCTCATATATTCAGGAGGGCCTTCAGACACCTCCCTATTGATCTACTATAATGATCATATCGCTCGGCACATTTGAGATGGAGAGGTATAAATGGGGTTATTTTTTTATTTTAGTGATTTCACAAATATTATGTTATCAATTTAAACCTAAGGCGAATTGGTTCAATGAAGTTGTTGATGCATTCAGACTTGTCGGACTATATTGTACTGGTTATGTTACTATAAGCCACGAAACGCAGGGGGAATTTGCTGAGAGGTGGCACAGGGAGACATCATCTTTCTACTTTCCTGTTGGGGAGTTAATGATCACTCTTGATGACGTGGCTTGTCTGCTCTATCTACCTATTAGAGGGAAGTTACTCAACCATTATAAGGCGCCACGAGCTCAAGCGGTTGAATGAATGGTTGATTATCTGGGTGCTCATCCATTTGATGCAGCAGAAGAGTGCAGAACAACCAATGGGTCGTATGCCAAATTCTCCACCCTGAAAGATCTATACGAGCACCACTTGATTGCAGCAGTTGGGGCTGAGGATGAGGGTGATGAGATTTTTGTCGAGTACCACCGTGGTTATGCTTTACAGTGTTGGTTCATGTTCTTGGCTGGCACGTTCCTATTTGAGGATAAAAGTGCAACCTACGTGGATGTCACATACCTTTAGTATTTTATGGATTTGAGTATATTTCTTGAGTGGAACTAGGGAGCCAACTGTTTGGTATACATTTCTTAAGTTGTTTTAACCTCAGCTCTTCCCTAAAAACTCAATAACAACTCAGCGGTAGTATGCATTTTTATCCCTTGATTTCTGCAAAATTCATTATACTCCTCTAAAACTTTCTCAAGGCATTCATAACGCCTTAAACTCAAATCCCATAATTCTTTCTTGTCATGAAAGCCTCCACTAGTTAACGATGAATGAATAACAACATTTGAACCTTCTAAAATATATAGACCACATATTTTATACCCTTTAGCAATAACCAATTCATCACGCAAAATCTTCAACACTCCATGTTCAACTCTAGTACAATAGCCTAGATTATCAAACATACTTATAGATAACAAATTTCGCTTGAGTTCTGGAATATGCCTCACATTGTCAATAAGAAGTTCACGATCATTAAATATTTTAAGTCTATTCGTACAAATATCATGAACTTTGTGAGCTTTATTATCACCAAGGCGAACTACTCCACCTTGCACTATCTTCAAAATTTCAAAGTATTCTAATCATAGACACATGTGATAAGAGCAACCTAAGTTAATAACCCAACTATATTCAATTTCCAAACTCGATACTACTAGTACATCGACATCCTCATAACTTTCCTCACCCAAGGAAACTGCAGCTTGAACAAAATCTTCATTGGTCTTACTCTTAGGACAATCCCTTTAAAGTGACCAATTTTCTGACAATTAAAATATTTTACCTTTAACTTGTCACACCTCTTTGATTTGGACATTCCTTTACGCTCACCTCCTCCTCTTGACACATTTAAGCCTTCACCACTATCTTTAATCTTCAAATCTTTCGACTTTGAAAATTCTTTGGATTTCACCACCGTTTGGACTTCATCCAAAGTAATAGTACATTCCTTACCATAAAGAAGTGCATCCTTAAAGTGCTCAAAGGATTTGGGTAATAAACTCAACAAGAGAAAATCCTTGTCCTCATCATCAATCTTCACTTAAATATTCTCAAGATCATCAATAATCTTGTGAAATTATGTAAGTTGCTCAATTATGGATTTGTTTCCACCATTCAGAATGAATAGAGTCGATGTTTCAGATACGACCTGTGAGCCAAAGACTTTGTCATATACAATGATTCAAGTTTTGTCCACATAGAACTTTATCCCCGAGACACAAGATAATGGCACTCCTGGCCTTATCCACCATCTCGGTTTTTTGTACCTGTGTAAGTTCTGCAGGCATCGATGCTTCACTCTTCAAATCATTGATACACTTCTCTTGAATTAAAAATGCTTGCATCTTAATTTTTCATAACCCGGAGTCGTTGTTACTGGAAAATTTCTCGATCTCCCATCTAACCATGGTGCTCACTTGTAAACAATATTTCTTTGCTTCATGCTCACCGCACCACTTGTTGTGAATCTTATTGTGAATTACAACAAAATTCAATATCAATTTGTGAGGAAAAGAATAGTAGCAACTAAAATAAATGGTCTACAGTAATAATAATTCGTACACAGATAAATAACATAATAAGGCGAGAAAAAGACGAAAGTTTGTTTACCCAATTCGATCAAACGATCTACTCTGAGAGAGAAAGCAGCTCTGCAATTCACTATACTCAAAAAGTTGTTACAAGAGATTACAAATGAGTTACAAGAAAATAGTCTTCGCCTTCAGGTTCCCAAGAACAATCTTGAAAGCGCCCAAGAACAATCCAATTTTCTACCCAAGTGTTTCCCAACCTCCCAAGATATAAACAAGTGTTTCTCAATTCCCCAATTCCTTTAGATAACTCCAAAGGTTTTCCCAAAACCCTTGCATTTCTAAGGTTTCTTTGAGAAGAGACAAAACCTTATACTATGTCTTTAAACCCTTGTGCTCCCTTGTTGTTGTAAGCTCTAAGATTGTCACACCTACAAACATATAAAAGATACATATTTATAATAACAAATACCCAACAAACAAAGTCTAAAATCACAATCCAATGACACATGGATCCATGGACCGAACCGAAAAAACCCAAAAACCCGGAATCACTATTCACCGTACGGATATCACTATTCATCCGTGCGATGGTACTATTCACCCCTGATTTCTATTTTTCAACTTTTTGTCCGATTTTTTGAAACTTCCAATTTTTACTGTAAATGCAATCTTCAAAATATATTTTCTTTCTCACACAACCTATAATTATAGTAACCTAGAACATGCATGAATCCATTGAAATTTGTTGATTCATATTCCTATAAATTGAGAATTTTTAACTTTCAACTATGTTTGAAAACACTACTAGTCCAACAATAAATGAAGCTGCTGCTTTTCCACTGCTTCATGATCCAAAAAGCAATGAAACACAGAAGACATTAAGGGCCAATTACAAGTTTGCGCAATCCATGTAAACCATGAAATACCAAAAGCAGATGCAGCATGTAACATGGTGAGAGCGTAGAAAATTTGTTAATCGGGAAAGTGAAGCGCGCGAAACATTGTGACTTTTAGCACAACCGGCATCTGCTTGATCAGCTCAAACACACAATGATCTCCCTCAGAGAGATTGTTGTCTCTATGAAATTCAAAATATCCCTTCAATATTCGCAGTGCCCCAGGAAATTTTGGAATATTGAATGCACAAGAAACTTCCCATTGCTTACCATCAGCATTTTGGAGTTTGATAGGAACATCTGGCTTCAAATACTTTTTAGCAAAATGAGAGGGAGCGTACTGCACAATGGATGACAGATGAATTTCAGTGAAAGCATAAATATGTATCTCAAACATTTACTTGAAACCAAAATCCTTACCGGATATCTGCCTTTATTGATTTTTGTACGAAAAAAAGGGTTTTCTGGGTTGAATTCATGGGCAGCAACCTCAACTCTTTGGTAAGCATGTTTCCCGTGACTCTCACTTGTTTCAACCTCAACTCTTTGGTAAGCGTGTTTCCCATCAGACATTTTCCTAGCACTAGCACATGGATAACATATCTCAACAGAAGTTGCATCAAATATTACAACACTAAACTTTGATTTCCCTTCATATTTGAATGACAGGTAGCAACCATATTCTAATGAATAGTGTTTCGCAAACTCTTGCCATTTGGTGCTTAAGTAAATGTTTTCGTTCCTTTTCTTAAGTTTCATTTCCCAGACACAACCATCTGGCACAGTAATTTCAGCAACATCTCCGAGTTCTTTCCCAAATCTTGTTACAAATTCATTCGGAATTCTCTGCAGTAATAATAGCTCATTTGTTATACTATTTAATAGCTCATTTGTTATACTATTTAGCAGAAAACAAAACAAACAGAAACTAAAGCTTACTATTTGTTTTTCATGAATGGGCGAGGGAAGTATGGCCTTCTTAAAATGCTTTTCCTTCCCAGACAGTACATGCCTTCCCCGGGGAGTCTGCATTGCAACAAGCAATAACCATTCACACTCTATACATTCAGATAAAATAGAATTGATACAAGATTTTGAACCTTGTTAACTTGTGTAACTAGTAGCACAGGAACAGGCTCTTTTTTTATCAGCTCAAATACATAACTAACTCCTTCTGATAAATTGTTTTCCTTCACAAATTTACGGAACCCAGCAGATATTCGCATTGCCGATGAATTCACTCTATGCGTTGTACAAGAAACTTGCCACTGCTTTCCTTGAGAATTTTGGAGTTTGATAGGAACATTTAGCTTGAGATATTTTGAAGCAAAATCAGCACTAATATACTGCATGCATGCACAATAGAAGACAGATCATAAGAATACTTAAACAAAACATAAAATAGAAAGTAAAATCCTCACCGCATAGCGACCGCTGAAGGATTTAGAGCGAAAACAAGGGTTTTTTGGGTTGTATTCATTGGGATATGAAATTTCAAGACAAGTTGTATCATATATAACAACATTGAAGTTTGAATTTCCTTGATAGTTGAAATCTAAATAGTAACCATAACGGAGAGAATAGTGTTGTGAGAACTCTTCCCATTTGTTGCAAAGGAAAACGGCATTGTTGTCGCATTTGTTGAGTTGTATATCCCATTGACAACCATCTGGAAGAGTCAGGGTAACAAGAGTGTTGAGTTCATTGCCAAATCTTGATATGAACTCATCTGGAATCCTGATTTGTTTGGAATGAACAGGTGAGGGAAGTATGACTTTCATCAAGTGTTTAGACTCCTTCTCCGGCCAGGATGAGCGGTGAGAGTGCATTGTATTTGCCATGGAGATGTGTTTAAAGAGTTTTACAAAATGTGACTGAGGTGATGAAAAAGTGTGATTCTAGACAAATGAGAGTGACTAGTCGCAAGATGTTGAAGCTCAGCAGCAGGAAATGAAGTTGGTTGAATGAATGAGCAAACAGATACCATCAGCTTTATGACACTTTCCAAAAACAGTAACTAAGACTCTATCACTAGACTCTTATCATAACTTTTATTTCACACCAAATAACATATTGAGATATAAAACTAAACCAACGATACAATGTTCCTTTTTATAACTCTTTATTTTTTTTAATAGAAAATACCTACAATAATGTTTTTAACAATAATTATTTAAATTAATTTTTTATGGAGTCGCTTGAATAACAATAAATGTCCTTCAAAATCTATTAGAATTAGGTTATGTGCGCCTTTGAATTTTCTAAAATTACAAGAAACTAATATTCAATAACATTAATTCTAAAGCTTTCATTGATTAAATATTGAACAAATCGGGATTTTTCAAATTTAATCATACTAATAGAGAATATGAAGAAAACTTTCTTAATCTAAAAGGCGCACAAACGTTAAATCTCTGATTAGATATAAAATGAAACAAATCCTTAAAAACATGATAATTATTCAAATTAACTTGCACTGGAAGCAACCTAGAGCGAGATAACATGGAGAACTTGTCGAAGTTCAAAGAGTCGATGAAGAGGAAATTTGAAATGTCGTATGTGAGAAACTTGTCATATTTCCTAGGCATGAAATTTTAAATTTTCAAGCAAGGTATGATGCTACATCAAAGGAAATATGTCAAAGAAATATTCAAAAGATTTAGGATGGATGATTCAAATCATGCATCCTCACGTGTCGAATCAAATTTAAATCTGGAGAAGCATGGAGAGGAGGACAAAGTTGATGTCACGTTGTTCAAACAAATAGTCGGATCTCTGAGATATGTGTGAAATCGTCGACCTGATATAGGTTTCTTAGTCGGATTAGTGAGCAGATACATGACTGAACCAAGGGCGTCACACATGAAGACTGCAAGAAAAATAATGAGATACTTAAAAGGATCGATAAAACGTGGAATTCTATTTCCATGAAGTTTTTATGGCAAACAAGATGTGATTAATTTCTATTCATATGCTGATTACTATGGAGATAAAGACGATCGAAGAAGTACAATTGGTTATTTCTTTCAAGTATTTGGGACTTTAATCTCATGGTGCTCGAGAAAGAAACCTATGGTGGCATTATCATCATGTGAGGCTGAATATATAGCAGAATCATATGTTGTATGTCAAGCAATTTGGATCAGATATGTGCTGGAAGAGATGAAGGTCGAAGTGAAGAAATCTCTGGTGTTGAAGATCGACAACCATTCAACCATAAATCTCTGAATACATTTTCTCTCATTAATCCCACTCATTCTCTTTTTCATTAAAAATGTCTCATGTGCTATCAAACTTGTCATATATTCAAACACGAGGTTGTATAACTTATATTTGGATCCCAAAGTCACCAATAGAGCCAATGAGTGTATTCTTAAGAAAACGTATTGGTTTTAAAACCTGAATACTAAGGTTATCATAGAGAGAAAATATTGACTTCCATGAAACCAAACTTCCTTTTAAATATAGAAATAATGATTGAAAATTGCAAATTCCAACAATAGTAGATTCGATGAAAATAACTTTATCTCCATTTAATCATCTTTTAGTACCTCAGTTCTACACAAGAGGGATTTATTTTCCTTGTTCAGTCTTGTACTACACTCAGAAAGGAACTTCTATTGATCCAGTAACTTTATGATTTGAAATTCAATTGCCTTTCTATTATGGTGTTCTATGATAGTAATAAGTTAGCCAATGAAATATCTAAACACACTGAATATTCATGAGGCATTAGTAACAGCAAGCAACATGAAAAATATAATATTTCTCAACCTGTTTTTTTAAGTGTCATATATAAGTTTGAAAACAATCCTATCCTAGTCCAATAATTCCTCAAGCTTCAGCATTGTTTTGATGATCCGAAAAGAAAAAACATGTCATTAAATACATTATACACAAGTGACTATTAATAGTTGGTGCCAAAACATACAGAAGTTGTTAATAGCCATAGTCAACTGCGCGAAACCTGCTTCAATTTGATCAGCTCAAATGATAGATTGTTAGAAAATCCTCTACTTATTTGCATTGTTAACAAGATTTGGCATCGTGCATAACAGAAAAAACTCGCCACTGCTCTCCATAAGAATTTTGGAGTTTGATAGGAACATTTGATTTCAGATACTTTCGGGCAAAATCAGCATTAACATACTGCACATTGCACAATAAATGAGATATAAATTTAAGTGGCAAAATGAATAAAAAAGAGTAAAATACTCATTGGCAGCATCCTGTGCTCTCTTAGAAGCAGGGTTAGAAATGCTTTTGACACTTGTTTTAGCCTTGGAACTTTTGCTAGAACTAAAAAATACTGTGTTTGTTTTGAATGGATGGAAATTAATAACACCAAAGTTTGAATTCCCTTCATATTTGAAACACAGATAGCAACCATATCCTATACAATAGTATTCTGCAAACTCTTGCCTGAGTTCCATTTCCCAAACACGGCCATCAGGAACAGTAATTGTAGCAACATTGTTGAGTTCACTACCAAATCTTGTTATAAACTCTTGTGGAATTCTCAAATTTTGGTTTCACTTTTGTTCTAAGGTCACATTTGCTCAAAATCATTTATTGTCATCATAGAACCAATCCAAGTTAGTACAGAAAACCATAAGTGTTACCTAATAACTTCAAACATGCAAAAGAGTCTTTAAAATAAATAATAATATATGATTGACATGCATGCATAATAAAAGTAGACCCAAACAAGCTAGACACAGTCTAGGACACAGTATAGAGCAGGAACACATTATTTGATCAACTGAAACATTCATAAACTAGTTAGGCACAAAGAGAGTCAAACATAAACATATTACTCACTCCCTTTTAAAAGAAAAAATTTGTTTCAAAATAGCAATGATTGTTATTTTTTCAATTATATTATTCAATTATTAATCTGTAAACTATTTCCAACACATTAATAAGGTTAATTTAATAAAAGTACAATGTCATATGACAATATTATTGCATTCTTTAATTCGTGTTCAAAAATCTTAAACGACAATTATTTTAAAAGGGAACAAATATTTATTTGGAATGAATAGATGAGGGAAGTATGGCTTTCATAAAATGCTTTGATTCCATCTCCTGTGCCGATGACCAATTCTTTGTCCGGCGAGGCTGCATTGTTGCCGATACCAATAGTAAGTGAAATAAAGTATTCTAAATATGTTTATTAATTTGTAAAGAAAAATAAAAAAAGCATAATGTGATAGTGATGGGACTAGACGTGGTAGATGATTCTCTCCCACATGCTTTACACAATTTACTATTCACAATAAAACTATTTGATAAATAAAAAAAAAAAAAAGCAAACAAACACGCATTATGAAATTTTTACAAACATATCACTCTTTTTATAAATTATTCACTAAAATACTATTTTTTTTCTATTAAATTTTAAATTATCATGTTTTCAAAAAAAAAATATATTACTGAAGAGTTGCCCATTACTTTGACGGTTGTGTTATTTTTTTTTATAATTTTTTTATTTACCTGCGGATTCTATAACATATAATACTCTAATGAAATTACCTGTGAGTTCTATAACATATAATACTCTAATGAAATCACATGTGAATTCTATAACATATGTGACAAATTCGCAGGTAATTGCAATACTTAGAACTGATCTAATTGTCACGTTGTGATGTTGGATGAGAAATGGAGCTTACTTTTGATCTTTGTCCTTTGTACTAGACATGTTTCTATGGCACCATACAGAACGTAAGCTTCAGAGTGGCGTGGATTGAAAAAACAATTAGGAGATTTGTTGAAAAGGAAACTTGTGAGACCAAGTGCATCACTTGGGGAGCTCCAGTGTTATTAGTTAAGAAGGAAGAAGGTAGTACGAGATTGTGTGTGGATTACCGATAATTGATTAAGGTAATGATGGGGATTAAATATCCACTTCAAAGGATTGACTTGATGGACCAACTAGCAAGTGAATATGTCTTCAGTATAATCAAATTGAGGTCGGGTTACCTTCAAAATTCAGGTGAAGGGTGAATATATTCAGAGGATAACTTTTAGAACTTGGTATAGGCATTGTGAGTTTTTGGATCAGTTTATAGCGGTGTTTATTGAGGATATTTAGATTCAATCTAAGTCAGAATAAGGACATGTTGAATGTTGCGATTTGAATTACAGTGTCCAGAGGGAGGAAACCTTGTGTTAAGTTGTCGAGGTGTAAATTATAGTTTAAGGAAATTTTCTTGAGCATGATATTTCTAGTGATGGTATATGTAGCTCCATCCAAGGTATATGCAATTCTACATTGAGAGGCTTTGAAGTCGGTTATAGAGATTAGAATTTTTTTGTTGAGCTTAACTGATTATTATCGCAGTTCAGTTTGAGATGAAGTCAAGTATGAGATGTTTGGTAATAGGAATGATGTGAAGAGATTGAAGAAACACATGAAGGTGCAACTTATGTCAATTGAGAATGGTAAGAGTGGGGAGATCTTGAGTAAAAGAGAAGGTTAAATAGTAACGTGGATTGTGTGTCAGTGATGACATGGTATCGACGTGGGTCAGAAAAAATTTAGAAGATGCATTCACCAACTGTGATGAGGTGGTATTATTTAGATTGTGATTGGAATGAAATCTAAATGCGAAATTATGTGAATCATCGAGCTTATGAGATTAAAGGAAAGACTAAGGGTTTATTGATGTTGCTAACATCCTATTCTTGGATAAAGACTTCAATTGGAGCGAAACGATTTGGATTATACTTGGTGTAGTAGCATTTCCTGTAATAGAGGATACTTAACTATTGTGTTTTGCTACTTGCGTGTAAAGGAGGCTATGTAATGGATTTTAAGCGTTTATGTCTCATTGAC